CAACCACAATCCAAACAATACCCCGCTTACCGCCTCCGAGCATCAGCTTTACCAACAGTAGCTCGGGTGTCTTCTATTTGCAGCTGTTACCAGCCGACTAGATCTGGCCTACATCACGAGTCAGCACGCACAGTACCCGCGTTGACGTGAAGGGGAGAATATGGCCGATCTTTGTCGAGCCTTCCAATATTTCATTTCGACTCCTACAATCGGTCTCAGCTACATGACACATATTGGAGCAAAATTTCAATTAACTAGATATGTTGACGCAGATCACGATGCTGACCACGACAACATGCGTTCGTGGACAGGGTTCCTTTTCAAGCTTGAACCAGGTGGTGTCATTTCATGGAAATCAACGAAACAGGAGGTCATCGCACTTTCATTAGCCGAAGCAGAATTTGTCGCGAAGTACTCTATCTTCAAGAGTTACTTCAAAAGGCAAAAATCGCAATGACTTGTAACTTCAAGTTACTCTGCGACAACTAGTGCGCAATCAAAATTGCAAACGAGTCCTGCTTTGTCAAGAGGACAAAACGCATCGCTCTTCGATAATTCTTCATCACGGACGAAATCGACAAAGGGAAGGTCGTTTTGAAATATTGCCCTACAGAAGAAATTGTCAAACTTATATTGATATGTTATAGGTTAGATAGGTGCAGTCCTATATAGAGTACAACCGCTTAGACAAAACTACCTTGTACCTCTCATTCTATTCAATCTGTTACTCTGAGATGGTATCACGCTAGTAGGTTAGGATCCCGCCCACCCGCGCTTCCGCCCTAGTCCTAGCCTTAACCCGCGCCGCCCGTTGCTAGCCGCCTATTACTAGCTGACCGTCGTAGCCGCCAGCCGCTCGTCGCCCGTTGGCCCCCATCGCCCGTAGCCCGTAGCCCGCTGGCCGCCCATCGCCCCTAGCCCGCTGGCCCCCGTCGCCCGTAGCCCGCTGGCCGCCCGTCGCCCGTAGCCCGCTGGCCGCCCGTCGCCCGTAGCCGGCTGGCCGCCTGTCGCCCGTAGCCCGCTGGCCGCCCGTCGCCCGTAGCCCGCTGGCCCCCAGCCGCTCGTCGCCCGCTGGCCCCCGTTGTGAGAGTACGACCCCGTTACACCACTTGGCCTTTTCTGATTTCCTTCCTTTTTCATTTCTCTTTTATTCCATCTCCTTTGGTTTCCTATTCTTCCTTTTCCATTAACCTTTGGTTTATCCTGCTATTATAATTATATCACCGACCAGGCTTGGGATGTACTGGTGCGCTCTATCTAGCGTAATCCTGCTGTAATCCCTTAAAGCCAATAGCCTCGCGTGGCTATACGCAGGGTGATTCTATATTCTAGAAGGGTCTATTCCCTTAGGATAAGATAAACCTGGTTACCTGATGTACTCTGGAAGTATAAAAGCGCCTTGTACTGATCGATAGTGCAACCTTTCCTCGACACATTCGATCCTGTAACACTTGGTAATCAGAGCTTTTCTCACTCGGCCGCGCTCAACAAAGCAGCAGCAGCGGGAAAACCTGCCTCGAAAAACCGCCGGGGGCGACCAATTCGACGCCGATTCTGGTAAGCACCAGCTCCGCGATTTTCGAATTACCCGCTCCGTGCGTGTTTTGAAGAGGATGGCAACCTTCGACAACACCGAGGTTACCCAGCAGCTCTTCGCGCGCATCGCAGCCCTTCAGGAGGAAATGCGAGCGGATCGCGAAGCGTGGCGAAAAGAGTTCGAGCGAGTAACTCGACTCGCCGGAGCGCAGCACGACTCAACAACGGCGACGACGCAGCAGTCGCAGCAGTTTCTCGAGGCTCCGAAACCGCGCCCACCTGAGCCGTTCGATCCGAGCGATCGAAACTCCGACGCCCGCAGATGGATCGCCGGGATGGAGATCTACTTCGCAGCCGTCGGATGGAGCTCGCCAGTCTGGGACGGTCAACGTGTACGACTCACGGCGACACTGATGCGAGGGCCGGCACTCGAGTGGATTGGCGGCAACAGTACCTTCATCCACGGTAAAGCCACGTGGCAGCAGTTCCGCGCCGACCTGCTGAAACGCTTCGAGCCGGTAAATTCCAGTTTCCTTGCCCGGGAAAAAATTCATCGACACTGACAGTTCGGGAGTGTAGCGCAGTACACGCAGCAGATGGAGGAATTTTATAACCGCATTCCCGACCTGACCGAAGGGGAAAAAGTACAATCGTACCTCGCCGGGCTGAAGACCGAAGTCAAACGACAAGTGGCAGCGTCAAACTACGCGAGCTACAGTGACGTCGTTTCGGCAGCGGAGCGCTTCGACATGGTCAACACCGGAACACGACGGACGCACGTCGGCAGTACGCGACAGGGCGACCGCTCGGCTCACCCCACGTTCGCCGACCTAATGGAAGTCGACAGATTCGAGGGGCGGCCAGGTCCGAAAAACACCAATTACACGTGTGATTTTTGCGGGGTGCCAGGTCATCGAATCTTCGACTGCAGCAAAATAAAAGCCGCACGCGCAGAGTATCGGGCACGCAATAGTGGCGGAATTCCTTCAGCCAATCAAAAGCCAAAAAACGGGAGTCGCCAGTAATCGCGGATCTAGCTGGCGAAAATAAAAAGATCCGAAAGCGGCCGCGGGATTCCGGGAAAATCAACTTCGACGAAGCTGATTCGACGCGAGAAGGAGGAAATGATGGGGGAAAATCTCCACCCCACGACCAGTCTTCGCCAGGGAAAATCGCCGAGGAAAAATACGACTCCGCGAGAAAAGACTCTGCCGAAACAGGGAAACTCCTTGAAGACCTAAGATATTATAAGGATTCGTTAAAGTTATCTTATAAAGATGCTTTAATGAAAACTTATGATTTTCGAGGAGCTAGAGCCTTGGAGAAATTTCGGGAGGGACTCCAAAAGAAGCAGACAGCTGTGGAGATCATACCGGTACCGGACAACTTGGGGAAGAAATTAAGGAGTCAACGTCCTTGACTCTGCGAAAAAAGACTCTGCCGAGACAGGGAAACTCCTTGAAGACCCAAGAAATTATAAAAAATCGTTAAAGTTATCTTATAAAGATGCTTTAATGAAAACTTATGATGTTCGAGGGGCTAGAGCCTTGGAGAAATTTCGGGAGGGACTCCAAAAGAAGCAGACAGCTGTGAAGATTATACCGGTACCGGACAAATTGGGGACCAAATTAAGGAGTGTGGAAAGAAGCCGACCTTTCCACGGAGTCAACGTCCTCTCCCGACACCAGCCCACAACGACTACCCGTTCCCCAGGGAAGACGTCGGTGGAGCTGAAGCAGCTCAAGAGGAAGCTGGGGGTCTATAAGAAGCTGCACAAACCCCAAAAACCTCCTCCGGATGCATCCAGTTCTTCGGCATCAGTGACGCGCACACTCGTCAGGGAAACTCCGGGCCCTGGAGAAGAGCCGTTCTCCAAGCAGCCTCGGCCAGCTGCCAGCTCAGGAGTAGATAGCAACACAAAGGTGTGTACGGAATATTGGGATGTACCCTATGACCCAATCAATGAAACTATCTTTGGGTACTCCGAGCAACGACTGCCCCTCGTGCTCGAGGTCATCTGCAAAGGACGACGCCTCCAAGCACTCGTGGACAGCGGAGCATCACACACCGTCTGCGACAAGGCAGTGATCGACCGACTTCGGGAAGAGTACAAGCCTTCAAGATTCTCTGCAATAATGGTGGACGGCAGCAAGTTACCAGTACACGGCGAAGCAGTGCTACACCTACAAATTGGACCACTGCGCTGGAGACCTGCACTCCCCATCACCAACATCAAAGGGCTTGACTTGATCTTCGGGCGAGACTTCCTAAAAAGATTCAACCCCGAGATCAACTGGGTGAACCGCACCGCAAGCATCTACAACAATGGACGGAGAGTACAGCTACCCAACTGGGACGATACAGGAGATATCCCAGTGGAGACACTCGCACGATTCGAGAAGGACGTGAAGCGAACCGACACAGGGTTCCTGGCAATAGCAACAGAGGCGGAGAACGACAGGGAGAGAACCTCGGAACCTCCAGGAAAGATCAAGGAATTATTGAAGGAGTTCCAAGATATTCTTCCGGACGATCTTCCGAATGAGCTACCGCCATACCGAACGCATCAACACGAGATCGTGGAGGAACCGGGTTCGAACCCGACCTTCCGAGCACCATATCGGCTCAGCCCTACGGAGCTGACCGACATGAAAAAACAAATCGAGTATCTCCTAGCCAAAGGACTCATCCGACCATCCACTTCGCCGTACGGTGCCCCAGTACTCTTCACACCGAAACCGGACGGAAGCCTGCGCATGTGCATCGACTACCGAGCTCTTAACAAGCAGACCATCAAGAATAAATATCCGATACCACAAATCGATGACCTGCTTGACCAGCTTCGGGGAGCTACGGTATTTTCCAAACTGGATCTGCGGTCCGGATACTGGCAAATACGCATGGCGGACAACTCTATCCACAAAACTGCTTTCCGAACTCGGTATGGATCGTACGAGTATTTGGTAATGCCGTTCGGACTCACCAACGCACCGGCAACGTTCCAAGCCGAAATGAACCACATACTACGACCACTTTTGGACGAATGCGTGGTGGTGTACCTGGACGACATACTCATCTACTCGCGCGACATGAAGCAGCACGTCGAACACCTGCGACGCGTGTTCGAAATTCTTCGACGAGAACGATTCTACGTCAAACTGTCCAAGAGCGAATTCGCCCTTGAAAAGGTCCAGTTCCTAGGACACATGGTGAGCGCTCAAGGAGTTCACGTCGACCCCAAAAAAAATTGAGGCCGTACGCACGTGGAAGACACCCGAGAACGTGAAGGAGTTGCAGCAGTTCCTAGGCTTCGCTAATTACTACAACAGGTTCGTGCCACAGTATGCGAAAATCGCAGCACCACTCACGAATCTGCTGAAGAAGAACACGCCCTACAAATGGGAGCCGAAGCACAAGGAAGCCGTGGAGCAGCTGAAGCAAGCACTTACGTTCGCAGCGGTACTCATTTTGCCAGATCCCGCACGCGACTACGTCATCGAAGCTGACGCCAGTGACCAAGCAGTGGGAGCAGACTTGATGCAAGATCAAGGGAATGGACTGCAACCAATCGCTTACCTAAGTAAGAAACTACACGGGGCAGAACTCAACTACCCGATACACGACAAGGAGGCCCTGGTTATCATCATCGCCTTCAAAGCGTGGAGATGCTATCTCGAAGGACAAAGAACAACCGTCTACACCGACCACTGCAGCCTGAAATATTTGAAGACACAACCCAACCTTTCACGGCGGCAGGTCCGGTGGATCGACTTCCTCGAGACACACTTCCACTACGACATCGTGTACAAGCCCGGCCACAAAAACAAAGCAGACACTCTCAGCCGACTTGCACACGTTGCCGCTATTCAGATCGAAGGGATGAATCCACTACTCAAGGGACTCTTCACACACGGGTACGCCACTGACCCCAAAATTCCTTTGGCAGAAAAGCGACATCAACTACAGTGGGACAGTGACATCGCGTACCGGAAAGGATCAACGAAAATCTGGGTACCCAATTACCCTCCTTTGCGCCAGTTACTACTCGAAGAATACCACGACGTCCTCTACGCCGGACACTTCGGTAGCAACAAGACGCTCACCGGTATCGCCAAACACTACTACTGGCCCCACTTAGCAGAAGATGTCCAGAAATTCGTCACCTCGTGTGATACATGTCTGCGGATGAAAAGTAGCAAGCAAAAAAAGGCGGGACTACTGCAGCCTCTTCCTGTCCCAGAACAACCATGGCAAGTGGTTAGCCTGGACTTCATCACCGGGTTACCACCTACCTCAGCGGTCATGACGCCATCCTTGTCGTCATTAACAAGTTCTCCAAAATGGGACACTTCATCCCGACACACACGACAGCACGCACCGAAGAAACAGCACAACTCTTCGTTCGATACATCATCTCACAGCATGGCATTCCAACCACACTCATCTCCGACCGAGACCCTAAGTTCACCAGCAAGTTCTGGAAGGAACTTATGTCTCTCCTCGGGACCAAACTCGCCATGTCATCTGCTTACCATCCGCAGACAGACGGACGGACCGAGCGCCTCAACCAAATTGTTGAGCAACTCCTCCGAGCCGCCTGCAAGGACGAGATCTCCAAATGGGACTTGCACCTGCCCGTACTAGAGTTTGCTTACAACAATGCTACGCATGCCGCTATTGGACAGACGCCGTTCTTCCTCTGCTACGGACGCCACCCACTCACACCACAGAAACCGACAGCATCAGCTACAGTCCAACCAGCACATGATTTCATCACAACCATGCATCAGCTTTGGGATCGGACCCACAAGCGCCTACTCGACATTCAACAGCAACAGAAGCGCCAAGCTGATCGCCATCGCAACGATCACACCATCACGGTGGGAGACCAGGTGCTTCTTGACACCCGCAACCTGGACATCAGCCATCTCCCATCTAAACTTCGACCTCGCTTCTGCGGGCCTTTTCTCGTTGAAGCACAGGTCACTCCTGTTACCTTCCGCTTACGCCTGCCAGCTACCTGGAAGATTCACAACGCCTTCCACGTCCAACTTCTGAAGCCCTATCGGGACCCGAACACGATTTTCGTCGGACGCCAACCGCCGCCGCCAACGCCCGTCCTCGTCCAGAATGAACCCGAGTACGAGGTTGAGTCCGTGCTCGCACACCGCCGTCGTCGGAATGGCACAGTGGAGCTTCTCATCCGTTGGAAGGGTTATGATCCTTCTGAGGACAGCTGGGTACCTGAGTCCGACATGGGTAATGCCCGTCGTCCTCTGCATAACTACCTTGTCAAGCAGGGTGTTACTTCTACCACCCAGCTTTGAGGGGGGGACGTGTGAGAGTACGACCCCATTACACCACTTGGCCTTTTCTTATTTCCTTCCTTTTTCATTTCTCTTTTTATTCCATCTCCTTTGGTTTCCTATTCTTCCTTTTCCATTAACCTTTGGTTTATCCTGCTATTATAATTATATCACCGACCAGGCTTGGGATGTACTGGTGCGCTCTATCTAGCGTAATGCTGCTGTAATCCCTTAAAGCCAATAGCCTCGCGTGGCTATACGCAGGGTGATTCTATATTCTAGAAGGGTCTATTCCCTTAGGATAAGATAAACCTGGTTACCTGATGTACTCTGGAAGTATAAAAGCGCCTTGTACTGATCGATAGTGCAACCTTTCCTCGACACATTCGATCCTGTGACACCCGTCGCCTGTAGCCGCTGGCCGCCTATCGCCGCTGGCTGCCCGTCGCCGCCAGCCCGACCGTCGCTGCTGGCCGCCTGTCGCCGCTGGCTGCATGATTCCACCAGCCGCCCGTAGCCGCTGGCCGACTGTCGCCACCAGCCGCCCGCTGGCAACAGCCGCCCGTCCCCGCTGACTGCCCGCTGCCGCCAGCCGCTGCCTATCGCCGCTGGTCGCCCGCTTCCACCAGCCGCTGCCCGTCGCCGGTGGCCGCCCGCTGCCGCCAGCCGCCTGCCGCTGCTGGCTGCCCGTTGCTGCCAGCCCGCCCGCTACCGCTGGCCCGCCTGTAGCTGCCAGCTGGCCTTGGCTCCTCCTCTGAGCCGGCGCTCCCGCCGGCTGCCTCCACCGCACTCCACCGCACTCCACCAAACTCCACGGCTCTCCGCCGCCCTCCTCCTTCTTTCCTCCTCCCCGTGTAAGCGGCAGTCAGCTGCTGCAGCCATGGTGATGGCGCACTCTCTGCTTCGCTTGGACACAGAGGGTCGGGCCATTGAGTTTGAGGCATGGCTCGTCGACCTCCGCCGCCAGCTGACCAGACAACGCCAGGACGGCCACTCCCTGGCCGTCCCTGTCGACGGTAAGCCCCCTCGCCCTGCCCCGCCTGCTGCCCTCCTTGACGCCCCCACATCTGCTAAAAGAGGCTTTTGTCGCTGCTCAGCTTGCCTGCGCTGTCTAGGATTCACGGGACGCTGTTGCTCAGCTTGCCATTAGTTACACTCTCCCCCTATCTGAGCGTCCCCGCTTTACTGCTGTAGCGAATGAAGGAATACTTAGATGCTGTCATCGTGCGCTATTCCACCCCCGCCTCCACCTCTGCCGGCCGACTGATCCTCCCCATGTTGTTCCCTGACCTTGCAACTTTCCCCACTGTCGCTGACCTTGCCACTCACCTCCACGCACTGGAGACTAGCTACTGCACTACTAGCACTGAGGCATAGCTCACTACCTTTCCACCGCCGCTTTGCACGGCCCTTTACCTCATTGCCACGCGCCTGCCTGACCGCCTAGCCACTGCCCGCGACCACTTCCTTTGTCAGCACCCAGGTGACCTCACTCTCACTGCCTTTGTCACCGCCCTGTCCGTGATAGAGACCCGCCAGTGCACTATAGCTCAGTCTAGCGGTGCTGGACCGGTCCATATTTTCCAGGGCTGTGCTCCCTCCCAGTGCACTTACTCTGACGTTTCTGACGTTATTGCTGAGACAGCTCCTAGTGCTGATACCGCCGCCACGGCCTCAGCGGAGCAGCATCAGGGTAAGGGCCGCTGTCCCAAGGGGGGGCGTGGAGGGGGGAAGGGTGGTGGGGGTGGTGGAAGTGGTGGCGGGGACAATGGTGCAGACGAGGGGATCGGGGCTGGTGCCCCGGAGCAGTAGCAACAGCAGCAGCAGCAGCAGTCGCCGTGGGGACCTCCGCCGCCGTGGTGGCCTGGCGGCGCTGGTGGTGGTCGTCGTGGTGGTGGGGCACGCAGCTCGGTGTCACGTGGCGGCTTCGATGTGGCCACCAGCCAGTACCAGCTTCAGACCGCCCCCTGCCACGGCACCGTCTGTGACCGTCCAGGTCACACTGCCGCCCGCTGCTACCGCCGCCTCGGCAACCTCTACCATCTTCACTTTGGTCCCACCTCCGACCCTCCTGACTGGTACGCCCTAGCCTGCCGCTGTGTGCCTGCCTTTGAGCTTGACATGGATCAGATTAAGACTGATACGTATGTCATGTATGCTGATGAATCTAGTGCGACCGGATCTTATTACCGTGTGTTGCCTAGTATACGTGTGCCTCCTGTGTGCAGTCTAGGAGAGCTACTACTTTGCTCTCCTTCACGCTCGACTCTGGAGCGTCTGCCTATTTCTTTCACGACCACACTGCTCTCACGCCGCTTGCTGCCCCTGCCGCTGTAGCGCTTGCCGCCCCTTCCTGTCTGGCGCTCTCCTTGGGCTCTCTTACAGGCTGGCACATCCACTCGTTCTCCAGGAACCTAGTTGGTGTCGGCTGTTTTCGGGACCTTGGCATCACCACTACATTTCCTGGACATGAAAGATACGCCGTCTGTATCGAGGCCGCCACCGGTGCCTCCCTTACCACATTCCCTCGGGACCCCGTATCTGGCTTGTCCATGCTGGACACCGCGTCCCCCTCGGTGGGAGCATCCCCCCGAGACGTCGCGTCCTTTCAAGTAGCTGCAGCCTGCTCGCGTCGATCGCACACCCATCCTTCACTTCTGTGGCACCACCGCCTAGGTCACCCCGCACTCCCGCGTCTGCGTTACATGCCCCATTACAGGCATGTCCATGGTCTCCTTGCGTTGCTCCCTGCCCTCCCTCCCTCACCTGCAGCGTCGTGCACGCCCTGCGTCGAGGGCCGGCTGCGCCATGCTCCCACTCCTCCTTGCTCCCCCCTACCACTGCGCCACTCTAGACCCTGCACCTGGACTTTTGGGATCCCGCCCCCGTCCCTGGGCCGCATCGAGAGCGCTACATTCTAGTGCTTGTTGATGACTTCACGCGCTACTCCACGGAGTTTCCCCTGGAGCGGAAGGCCGACATGCCTGACGTTCTTATCTCGTGGGTCATAGCTGCGCGAGTCCACCACGGCCTCCCCGTGCTGTGTCTCCACTCCGACTGTGGCGGCGAGTTCGCCTCCGGTCGGATTGGCCAGTTCTATCGTCTGGAGGGCATCACCCTGTCGTACACCGCTCACCAGCTTAACCTGTGGCCACACTCCCAGCGCCCGCAGGTTTCGCCGACCCTTCTCTGGACCGGGTTCCCAGGTGACGCATCTGCGTTCCACGTCTGGGGATGCCTTGCTCAGGTTTGTGCCTCTGGCATGGACAAGCTCACTGCGCGCACCGTCCCTTGTGTCTTCCTTGGTTTCCCCCTCGACGCGTCTGATTGGCACCTTTACCATCCGTTGTCTCACCATTTCTATCACTCCCGCAACGTCACTTTTGACGAGACTGTCTCCTTCTACACCCGCTTTCCCCACTGAGGTCTCCCGGTTTCCACGCCCCCTATTCCTGGTCCCCACCCCCCCAGTAGCCCCTGTTCCTCTTCCTCCCCGTCTTGCCCTGTCTGGTGTGTCTCACGTCACTCCCCTCTCATCGGTTGTCCCGGTGGAGGATTCGGCTGAATCCAGGGGCCCTGTAGATTTGGTATCGCCGCCTGTCTCTGCCCCAGTGTCCCCTCCTCCGCCGCCGCCGCAGCACCCGCCGTCGCTGTCACAGCCGCAGCAGTAGCCGTCGCAGCCGCCATCGCTGCCATCGCCGCCATTGCAGTCGCAGCCGCTGCAGGGGTCTATGAGCTCGAAGGGTGTGGGCGTTGAGGAGGGTGCTAGTCCTGGGGGTACTGTCGTGGCTTGTCCTGGCGGTCTTGGGGGTGGCACAAGTGCTGGAGAGGGTTCTCGCTCTGGGGGTGCTTGTTTTGGGGGTGCTGGTTTTGGGGGTGCTAGTCCTGGGGGAACTGTCGTGGCTTGTCTCGGCGGTCCTGGGCGTGGCACTGGTGCTGGAGAGGGTTCTCAATATAGGGGTACTGTCATGGAGCGTCCCGGAGGTAGCCGTGGTGCAGCTGGAGGTTCTGGTGTCAGCGTGGAGCAGCAGGAGCAGCAGACACTGCCGGTGTCCGCCCTTCACCTCCTCAGTCTTCCTTCCCCTGACCGCCTACTTGCGCCTCCCCCGCCTGTCTACATTCCTGTGTTTCCTCCGCCGAACTTGTCTCTGGCTCGTTTTCCTCCGCGTTCTCCTCATATGTCTCCTCGTGTGTTTCCTGACCCCACGCCTCCATCCCACTTTTGGTCTAGCCGTCCCTCTCGTGCTCGTCCTGTCTCTCCTGTCCAGCGCTCTCACCCTATGTTGGTCCATTCCCACGCGTCCCGTCCTCCCTTCCTCCCGTCGCCTCCTCTGTCCTCGCTGATTGTCGCTCCTCCTACCTTGTCTGACTTCCTCCGTGCCGCTAGTCCTCTTGTTCCTCGGGTCCTCGCCTCTCTTGTTACCGACCCGTCTATTCCTGTCTCCAGACTTGACGCTATTTTCGTTGCCATCGCTGACTTTGCCTCTCCCGCCGCCTTGACTACGCCACTGCTCTGGTCTCTGACCCTGCTTGTCCTTTGTCCATCGGGGGTGATCCTGCCCTTGGCAGTGACAATCTGGAGGACCGGCAGTATGAGCTTGCTTTCCTGTCCGAGGCCGCGCCTCACCTCTGCTCCATGCTGCTAGTCCCTGAGGGAGACCTGTTGGTGCAACCCTATGGCTTGCACTCGGCTTGTCGTCCTTGTTTGTATGTTTGCATGCATGGCATGGAATGAATTGTGAGTCTATGTCATTGCTATCTAGTGCTTGTGTGTGTGTTTGGATGGTGTATCACAATGTGGTTTGTGTCGGTCAAGACATCAGCGAGTTTTTACAACTCGCATGTCAAGTCGTCGTTTGCGTGTCGCATGTGTTTTTTTTTCTATTTTGTCGAGTGTGAAGTGTCCATCACATCGCAGGTGTGTGCAGCAAGCCCTCATCAATTCAAGAAGAATTTATCTTGCAGAACCAAGACCAAGAGCTTAAGATTTCAAACCCAAGGGACACGGATAAATATTAAATAGTGAAAATAGTAACGCTACTTCGTGTAGTGTTACA